AAAAAAAAAAAAAAAAAAAAAAAAATAAAAAAAAAAAAAATAAAAATAAAAAAAAAAAAACCCCTACGCTGCCTCCGATTCCTCCTCCACCTGCTGAGCGATCCCCTCATACCACACCCCGTGACTCTGCCGATCCAGTGCTCCCACCCGCCCCATCTCCTCCACAATCGCACCGACCTTGTGCACAAACTCGGGCAGGCCGAGACTCGCGAGCTTCTCACTGGCGGTACTCGCGCTCTTGACCCTCTCCTTCTCCGTGTGAGCCGCCAGCCGACTCAAGATGTGGCCTCGCAGCCTCGTCATCAGCAATCGCGTCACGGGATCGCGGAGCTCCGTGGTCCCCGAGGAGATGGCGGCCGAGGTGGTGACGATGCGGAGGACGAGATCCCTGATGTGGTTCTTGGTCGCGGCGGGCATGCTGCGCGAGGACTCGAGGGCCGCTTGGATACCGTGACGGGCCTGTTCGGGCTCCTTGGCGTTCTCGAGCACGGAGAAGATGCGGCTTGCTTCCGTTTTCCACTGGCTGCGGACGTCTCGCTTCAGCATGTTCTTGCATTGGAGCAGGATCGCACCGCAGGTGACGATACGCAGGATGTCGCCTCGGATCCGGGTGATCCGCTTAGAGTCCAGCTCTAGAGTCTCTGGGATAGGGCTGGAGTAGTCGAGGGTAGTAAAGACGTCGACAAGCATCTGTATGTACATCTTTTCAGGGGTAGGGCGGGCTCGAGCCAAGTGGACCATCTCGGGGTCTCTTCGCGCATGCTCGGCCACCACCTTCGTCCGGGCTTCCCTCCACGCTTTCTCGGTGGCCGGTAGGTCACTAGAAGTCTGCTCCAGGATCTGGCCAAAGATCGACGCCTCGTACTCGGCGGCGTTCTTGACCAGAGCCGGGGCTGCTTGTTGTAACATGAAGTTGGCGTAATCGAGTTGCATCAGGTCGATGCCGTGCATCAAGGCCTGGAGACGGTCGACCACGTCTCCGCTCTGCATCTTCTCCTCGACGATCTCTCTGATCTCTGCGTCACGGAACGGGGCACAGAGCCGAGGAAGCAGCGAAGCCATAAAGGAAAAGAATTTCTCGTAGGAGAAAGACCCCGCCTGGAGCTCTGTAGCTACGACCTCGTTGTCGAGGGCCTCGCCTATGAGCTTGTGCATGGAATTCCCTTCTTTGAGAAGCTGTTGAAGTCGCGTCCTGATGTTCTCTGCCATGGCTAGGATCCAGATATCGCTGTTCCCTGACGCCACCTCCTGGCGCATCTTGTCAAAGACTGCTTGCATGATCGCGTTTCTCTCCTGGAGAGCATCTTCGTCAATCCGATACTCCCGGTTGAGCGCAACCTCGTGCGTTACAATCCTGTTCGGAGGAAGGATAGGTCGGGCAATCCGAAGCTCGTCGGCATGCGGACTTTGATACTTTCGGGGCGTGGCTGGTGGCGTGAGAGTCTGCAAGTGCGAATCGACTAGTTTCTCGGACGCTGCAAGATCGGCCAGGACGGGTTGTTCTGGCTCGACAGACTCGGCGGCTCGAGGGCGCGAATCTCCAACGGGCTTCTTGACTCCCCGGACCTTTCGCGCTTCCCGGATAGCATCCGTAATCAACTTCTTACCTTGCTGAGCACCAGCCAGCCTCTTGATTCGCACCATGAGCTTCAGCTGATTCTCGCGAATGCCATCTCGGTACGAAGCAGTGACCGCCTCCTCGGTGCTGTCCTTGACGGATTGCCAGATGGAGTCCAGCTCCACGAACTGCAGGACCATCATATCGATCAAGGTCGTCGAGTCTCTAGCTTTCCACGCAATGAAAGCGTTGAAAAAGGTCGCGTAGACCTCGGACAGGGTCAAGAGCTGCCCCGGAGGTGGGGTGTAGCTGTTTGCCGGGTTCAGTCGTGATAGAACATTCTCAAAAGAGATCAGCAGATCTCGAGCCTTGGCTACCAGCTCCTGTAACTGTGGATTAGCTAGATCATCTCTCCTCATGGACGGCGATCCCCCCACCTGCTCTGGCTCTCGAATATCCACCTTGCCGCTCAGGACTTGAGTTGGGTGCCCGAGGATGAGAAACGCGCCCAGGAAAGTGCGTACGGCCGTCATCTCATTGACGGAGCCCGTCTCCCCCTCCTTGAGCCCGCAGATCCGCAGGATCTGTGCAGTGCTGACCAGCACTTTCTCCTGCGCCAGTAGATCAACCACGTCCTCAAACGAGGTTTCACGGACGCTGTCAATCGTGAGACCCAGAGACGCAAATTCTCTCAGCGCCTTCGCTTTGCGATGGATCCTCCACTGCTGTTGGATCCTCGAAGCCGCCACCTCCTCGCTGATCGACTCACAGACCGAGGGCAGGGGTGAGAGGCTCTTCCGCGGCTGACTCAGAGAGCGCCCCCTCTTCGAAGACTGCGCGCGATTGAGGATCTCCTCTCGCCTCTTCTCGGCCTCGGCAAGTCTCTCCTCCATCTCCTTCCTCAACTTCTTGCCCTCCGCCTCTCTCTTCTCCTTCATGCTCTCCGCAATGCCCTTGGCCCGCTTGACCTCCTCCGCGCACGACGCGACAATCTCCGCCAGGTTCTTCTCTCGGGCATGTTGCGCGGCCAGGGCCCTCTCCTCGCTGTTCGTGGTACTCCGCGGCGCGGCCTTCGCGACCGCCGCCCTCAGGCGCACCTTCTCCGCGTGCGCCGCCCTATCGGCCAGCCTGGCCTTCCGGTCCTCGATGATGGATGCGCGGCGCAGGTGCTGGGCGATGTAGTTGCTCTGCGGCCCTCCATGACGGCCGGACAGTTGCGACTGGTGAGAGTGTGCGGAGGAGACTGAGTTGCGACGAGAGGAGGCGGCGGACGACTTGCGACGGTTGGTGGTCGGGCGATAGAATCGGGCGGCGAGTCGAGGAGGGGGGGTATGCACGCGCAGCTCATTGGGTTCTTCGTTGATGAGGTCGAGGTCGAGGGATTCGGGAGTGTCGGACGGGCCCGTTGACTCGGCCAGGTTGCGGTCGGGATCGCTGAGGTCCTCCGCGGGGCGATGCATCGTGAATTTGTTTGGAGGGCTATATGGTGTGCTGTGGTGTATAGTTGCGTATCAATTCCGTGTTGAAAGGGTAGACGGAGGGCGTCTCCGGGCGCAAAGATATGAAGTTGTGTCTGTGACGCAAGGCTCGGTATTTACAGTAGAAGCGAATGAATATGGAGGGACCAAATCAATACAAATATATCCGTCGTCGTTGACGGTTGCGGTACAGTGCTGGACAGAAATGAGGGGGTTGGGGCTGGCTGGCTTGCCTGCTTGCGTTTGACGTCTTAGAGTTGACGATGACGAGAGAACCGAGAGCCTCGACTCAGGTCTCAAGTACGTACGTACAAGTGCGATCAATGAGCACGCATCAACAACTCTTCGTTCTCAAGAAGGCAGGAGAAGCGTGGGTGTTGCTGATATTTCTCTCTTTCTTTCTGTCTTTCTGTCTTCCTTTCTTGATTCCCATATATATGTGTCTAGTCGACGATCTCCTCGACATGCATCTTTCTGCCAGCCCGCTAAACCAAGCAACCAGCCAGGCTGACTGACAGCAGGCGGTGCACGAGATCCAAGTCCGTGATGCACGCTCCAAAGCCAAGGGAGCTAGTGACCTAAGTGCTGACCTAGGTAGATAGTCATACGGTACACATACATAAATCTACGAGATGCAGAAAGATAAAGTATCCCAAGACCGCAAACGAAAACATGTGATTGCCTCAACTTTCCGTACCTCACAACCACCCTACCTACGGTACCTACCTACCTAACCCACCCACCCACCTACCTACCCACCTTGCCCACCTCGTACCTCGCCAAAGATAAGATAAGGCATCCTCCAGCCAGCAAAAACGTGACCAGGATCAGATACCGCTCTCCTCCTATAACTGAAACCAACGACAACACAGTAAACACAAGGTTCACCTGATCTCCATCTCCCATCGCCATCCCTCCCTCCCTCCTTCCCCCCCTGCCACGATCGTCATCACCATCATCATTAACCCCCCGCCCCACCCCCATCCCATCCCATCCCAAAACCCACTCACTCACGCGAAAATAGCTGGATCTATACCGGTACGTATCCATACTGTAAGCAAGTAAAGTAAGCGATGTACGCATCACACACACACACACACATATACACATATACACATATATACACATACACATATATAAATAACCCCCCCCCCTTTCCACCCATCGGCCAACCCGAAGAAATAAATACATAAATACATAAATACATAAATATATAAATATATAAATATATAAATATATAAATACATAAATACATATATACATACATACATAAATAAATAAATACATAAATACATACATAAATCCATACATAAATAAATAATCCCCATCCAATTATACACACCAATTCCAATTCCAATTCCAAATCAATACCAATACCAATACCAATACCAATACCAAGACCCAATTCCAAATCAACCCCCCCCCCCTCACCCCCTCCTCCCCAAAATACCTACCTAATCAATAATCAATAATCAATAACCAGCCTCAAGCAACAAGCCACCCCAAAGCCCAAACGCGACTCACTGACAATGGTACTACTACTACTACGGTACGTGTCAACACCACTCACCCACTCACCCACTCACCCACACACTCACTTACTCACTCACTTACCCTACTATAAATAAATAAATAAATAAACAAACACCAGATTAGACCAGGGACGGGACGGGTCCGAGGTCCTAAATACTACTATATATACCGGTACCGTATCATCAGTCCACCTTGGCGCCCGACCGAGCCCGTGCGGGCGAATTGATTAATTGATTGATTTGATTGCGGAGGGGAGGACAGGAAATCACGGCACGGCACATCACACATCACCTCACATCACCGGCTGCGGGCTCTAGGGGATGTTTATTTAAGCATAAGTGAGACCGAGGGTTTCACAAGAGACGGCAAGTCCGATGGAAAGATTTCCTATTTTAGATTTGAGACCGTGTCATTGCGTAAATCCTCGGGCGCGCCAGCGTCCGTTGTCATCATCCCAGCAGCCGGAGCATACGGCGGAGCGCCAAACCAGTCCAGTGGCATTTCTCTGAATCCTGGATTTGGATGCTAACGGGAAAGGGAAGAGAAGGAGAGAGAGAGAAAGAAAAAAAAAAAAAAAAAAAAAAAGAATAGATAGCCAACGACTTATATAAAACACGTGAGAATCGGGTAATGGGGTGTAGACTTATGTACACTAGAGAAGAGGTATATAGACAACCGCGACCATCTCGTCTCCAACGTCGTCTCGTCACCAGTGTGCAGGGGGCGTGAACAAAGGAAATCGGGTCTAGATAAGTGACGAGAATATCAAGGGTCGGCTCCCTTTCTGATAGTGTTCCCAGAGAGACATTTGATCGCTTAGGAGACTGGGAGGGGGTTCATGGGGTAGTAGGCACCTGGTGCTTCACTTGGCACGGGGACGACGGTTGCGGTGCTGTAAATGACGGGGACCGGCGGCGTTACGGCAGGTCCGGCGGCGGTGGAGGTTTCGAGGATGATGCTGCTGCTGCTTGCGGCAGCAACAAGAGGGTAGACGGGAGGGGGCACCACGGGGTAACCACCGGTAGGGGCGGGGCCGTGGGAAGAAGTGGAAGTGGGGACGTGGGAAGAGGTTGGGGCGGTGCTAGATGGAACACCGACTGCCGTGGAAACGTAGCTGGGGTGTCCGGGGGGGAAGACGCTGGAGCACTTCTTCTTGGTGGAGGTCATGGTGCTGTTACCGTATGGGGAACCAGGGTAGCCCGGAACGGGTGGGTTGGATGGAGGGGTGATAGCAGGACCAGCAGGGCCAGCGTTGTTGACTCTCGAGGCGACTGGTACGAGGCCGCTGTCGACAGGGTATCCACCAGCTGGTCCGGATGGGATGGATCCCTCGGCGGTTGGGGCACCAGTGGGCTGATTGGGGCACGATCCTGAGCCAGGCTAGGTATTGTTAGTCAGATCCACGCACATCAGGGAGACCATCAGCTTACAACAGTGACAGCCTTGGTAACGGTAACAGTGACGGGAAGGCAAGCGTTGTCGCTGGCGACAGGGGCCGAAGGTGCGGCGACAATGGTGATGTAGCGAGTGGATGTAATACGTGCTGCGAGAAAACCTATTAGCCTTGTAGAACGAGGGCCTGGACACGACGTTCCAGCTTCGATGCGATTCAGCACTCACCTTGAACCGTGGTGGTCACTTCAGGAGCAGGGGGGCCAGCACCGTAGCCTGGCCCCTTCTCGCCGGCCGGCTTGGTAGCGTAGACGGTGTTGGTCTTGGTGTGCTTGATCGTGGTAGTCACGACCGTGGTCGATGTTCCGGATCCAAGGGTGTAGGTGAGCACGATCGATTCAGCGCCAGAGAGGGTTGGGTAAGGAGCGTCACCCTTGGGGTTGACACCAGTTCCAACCGGACCCTTAGCTGTCGATTGCGACTCGCCAGTAGGGTATGGGGGCTGGGGAGTACCCGCGGGCGGATGGGGAACCTTGCCGTAGCCGGGTGCTCCGGGAGTCTCGGCGGGGACGGTCGGCGGCATGTTCATTCCGTAACCTCCGGGAGAGGTTTCTTTGGCCGCAGAGTAGGTTGACATCATGGCGTGGCTTGCGGCCGATGCAGCCGATTGGGCCTTCGTCACTGGGCAGACAGTCTACCACACCGGTCAGCGGTCTTCCCTCGGTCTCTCCAAGGTCTTCCTCATTTCTTACTGTGTAGGCGCCGAGAGTCTTCGTCACAACCTGACCCATCGATTTGCCGCCGGAACGCGCAGGGCAGTCCTTCACCGTCGCAGGACAGTCGGTGACGGTGAACACCTTGGTGTGGTAGACAACCAAGGTGGTCGAAGGCTCCGGGGCGGGCGTATGCTCCGGGACCGGGTTGGGCATAGTGGTGTTGTAAACCAGATATTGGCGTTTCGCGGCCGCATTGTGGTTGTGGGCAGCAGCGGCTGAGGCGGCGAAGAGGCCGATGGAGAGGGCAGCGACCTTCATTTTTTCCGATACTTCTCTCGTGATTTGTTCTTCTTCAGATGGTTTGCAGATGAGGGGGGTCGTTAGATGGTCGTGAATCGGGACAAATCTCCTTTTGGGGTGATTGATGGGAAAAGGCAGAAGGCGACTAAGCGAATGTGTCTCCGGAGAGAAGGACGGGAGTCGAAAACGAAAGTATCAGCGGTGAGAAACGACTGTAATGACTGTAGTCTGCAGATGTATCCAGTTGGAGGTGAATGAACATAAGTAGTTCAGGAGAGGGAGAAGGGAGAGGATAAGTGAGAATAAAGTGTGGGTGAGCGTTTAAAAAAGAAAAGGGCAGCGCGGGATTACGGTGAACAGGGGAAGTCCGAGCTAGAGGAGATTGGGGGTGTGGGTGGTTGTGGTTAGACGCCAGGGCCCAGGGCCCATCCCTCTTTCCCTGGTTCATCCCCTGGCTGGGATGATGGGATAAGGAGAGAAGGTATGGGTATGGATATAGATCCCACCGAACGAAAAGGCTTGGGAAGTTGGGGCCAGCAGGACGGAGAAGGGGGGGCTGGGCTGGGCTGGGACGGTAGAGGCCGGCACAGTAAGTGAGCGACAGTATTACTAGCTGGCCTGGGTTAGCCGAAAACTTGAGTGGGGCTGCAAACAAGTGGCGGGGGGGGCTATTCAGACTTCGGCCAACGTCAAAGTCGATTCAGGGGTTGGTTGGTCGGTTGGTCGGTCGGTGGGTTGGGGAGTAAGGTTGTTCCGTGCTGTGGATGAGATGTTCCGTAGATTGATTGGTGAGGAGTGGGCGCAGCACCCGGCTGGCGCATATGCAGGGCCCCGTGACGCAGGGGTGGCTGGTCGTTGTGAAACGTGAAACCAGAGATGAGATGAAATAAATAAATCATGAAATAAAAAATCGAGATGAAAATAAACCACTGATTTGGATGAATAAAATAGCAGTCCGATGAAACATTCTTCACTGTAATAATAGCAGTGCCTAGTAGTATCTAGCGGAGTCGAGAGAGCCCAATATACGTAGTACGTACTACTACGTAGTACAAAGGGTCCATCGACATGGGTTGGCTGTATAGATACTCCGTACGCCGTATAGTAGAACGACGACCAGTACCGGTACTCTAACTATATTCTACGTACGTAGTAACTACGGAGTACAACTTAGTAGTACTAGTACAACTTACCGATCGAATCTTGGCCTATTAACTTTTAAGAGTATTCACTACGTTCGTACTACTACTACCGGTACTGCTACTACTGCTACTACTACTACAACTAGTACTACTAGTATGGTAGATCAGCGCCCCGGGCGCATGGCCCATAGCATGGCCGGAGATTATACTTCTTTATCATCCCGGTGCTAAGTAAAGTCAAGATAGAGGATAAGGGGGCAGAGGACGCAGTACCGAATCCGACGGGAGGTGGTGGTGCAGGCCGATCAGAGAGAGAGAGAGATAAAGAGAGATGAAGCGAGAGAAAGATGGCCGTGACCAGAGTACGGATAGGATCAGGACCATCAGAGAGGTACGTAGGTGCACGCATGCGCCTATCCGCTATTGACTGTGTTTTTGCTTTTGCTTCTGTTTTTGCTTCTGCTTCTGCATCTGCTTCTCTCCTCTCCTCTCCTCTTCCTCTTCCTCTCCTCTTCCTCCTCTCTCCTCTCCTCTGCCTCTCCTCTCCCCCTCTCCCCCTCTCCTCTCCCCTCTTTCGCAACAGTACGGAGATTTCTCATTCCAGGCCCCAGAAATCCCCCGACGGACTCGAGTTGTCGCGACTTGCCGCGCTTAGCCAAGCACCCAAGACAAGAAGATGCCAACACGATCAGCTAGCCGCATCGCTCATGGTCCAATCTCGTGCGGCCTTGCTTTTTCTTGTAGGTGCGCCGCATGATTTGTATAGAGTAGGTCAGTGTATGAATGAATGAATGAATGAATGAATGATTCGCGGGACGAGGGGGTAGTGAAGGAGTTTCTGTCGTGCGGCCGTCCCCCAGGTTTCCAAGTGCGGGCTTGAAACGGCGCCACGACGCCACCACGACGACGCCACAACGCCACGGTTCGAGCCGGACGGCAGACAGGTCGACGGCTCGGTCACTAGCCATGGCTAGTAAGTACGTAGTAGGACAGTAGTTGGAACTGCTAAACTGACCACGTGTAGGAGAGACGTCTCGGGACGTGCCCCCTTGGCGCGGTGGAGGAAACCATACCAACGCCTAGTGAGGACAGTAGTAAGTACAGTTCACTAGTGACCTGAGACCAAACGAATGAATAAACAAAACGAAATGACCTAATACAAGATCTCATCTCGGAAGCTTACCGTCCTACTTAGCATCAGCTTCTTGCCGTGTCAGCTGGCTGGTGACGCGAGGATCGCCGTCTGACAGCTCGCACTGGATGACACAGCATAGGGCGTACGTACATGCATGCATTCATTCATTCATACTGTACGTAGTACATTCTTTCGTTCTTTTCTTCTTTCATCCATTCATTCTTTCATCTCATCTATCCAATACTGCTCCAACCCCCGTCCCCGCCGACACGGGAACAAGCGAAGAATCGATTGAAACAGTTCGTCTGGATCCCACAGATGGAATCCATCCAAGACTTGAGACTCACACTGACATGTTTGATCCTGTCTCACTCACATCTCGACTCTCACCACTTTTCATCCCGCATCCCGCATCCCGCATCCCATATCCCGCATCCCGCACCCCATTTCCCATCTCCCATCTCCCATCTCCCACATCCCTATCCCCATCGCAATCTGCCAATCCCCCACCCCGTTGGTTCGGCCGCTAGGCCCTCGGACGGCGGCTTGTGGATGCGGTGGAGAAGACAAGCACAGTGGGCCTGAGGGGCCGGCCAATTTTATCGGGGCTTGATGCTTGTCAGGAGCGATTCCCGAGTCGCGATTCGTCGCCGTCGCCGTCGCCGTCGTCGTCAGCCTCATCTCAGCGAGCCAACCAGCCCGGATGGTGGTGAAATTGATCTTGCTGCGACGTTGATCTGCTGCATCGGAGCTGACTTAGAAGGATCGGGGATTCGGGCGAGGCATTTTCTTTGATTTGTCAGTATGCATCGGCCGGGATGAGGTCTGGAAAATCGCGCGCGCGAGGAGGTGAAGAGGAATCGACAGTAGCACTGTGTCCAGGGAGGTTGTCAATCGCGCTTGACGTGAATCGACCCGCGCGCATACAGAATCCCCGGAGGAGAAGATCAGAGAGCCACCCAGAAATGAGCTACCACGTACCAAAAAAAAAAGAAGAAAAAAGAAAAAGAAAAAAAAAAGCCTGTTTCTCAATCTCGGTTCTCAAATGAAATCATCATCTCATCACGACGTCACCACCAACCAACCAACCAACCAACCAAACCACCCTTTCTGTCCCTTATACTACGTATAAGCTCCTCCGCCCCGTCTACCCAACCCAACCCGTCATCTCCCCCTCTCTCCCTTCCCTTCCCTTCCCCTCTTTCCCCCTCCCCACCTCACTTTCCCGCAACCCCCCCACCAGCCCAGCCCAACCCAAACCGACGAACGACGCCTACCAGTTACCTATCCGACCACCGATCGAGTGGTTGCAACTTTTAAAAAAAAAAAAAAAAAAAAGAAGGAAAAGGAAAATTAAAGTAAGTAAAACGAAATTAAAATCTCATGATGATATATATATGTGTGTGTGTGTATATATATGTGTATTTATTATTATTTATTATTATT